ATACTATTATAAGTAAAGTCAATATACCGCTCCATCAGCCCCTGGCACCACTGGCACCACAAGCAACTGTCTGCCTTCTTTTTTTATTCTTTTCCCTAAAGATAGCTTGAGTTAACTTTGCAACATGTTCACTCTTCAGGCCTGAGGTCTGCAGTTCTGTTTCTGTTTTGCCACCAGTGCTTTGCACATCAGCATCCCAATGAGCCACAGCACTTGGTGGAATACATATGGATCCTCTATCCATGCTTTATGAATGTAAACACTTATTTGCTCCAGCTTTCCCCATCTACAAGGGATAGTCTTTGTTTTCTTGTGTTATCAATGCCCCTATTTGGTTCTCTTTTTTCATTTGGAGAATGCCTTCTTAATTTTTTGCTGTTGAGTATTGTTAGGATTTGAGTCATTCAATACAAGCAAAATACCTGCTGGCACAATGATTGCATCTTGTTTCTAGAGCACAGTCATGCATAATTTTAAAATGTATTTATCTACTTCATTTATATCCTGTAAAGTGGCTTACATAAGAGAAAGTGGCATGGTATAGTCTGATCTCATCAAGGTCAGTACTTGGAAGGAAGACCACCAAGGAATACAATGGCAAAAAAACCTCTGCTTCTCACTTGCCTGGAAAGCTCCTTGCCGGGGCTGCTGTAAATCAGCAATTTACCCATACAAAAAGTAGCTTACCTTGTTCTCCTGTCTTGCATTTTACCCTCATAAGAACCCTGTGAGGAAGGTTAGACTGAGTGTGTGACAGACACCAGGTCACCCAACAAGCTTCTATGGCAGAACAAGTATTTGAACCTGGGTATCTAGGCTCTTTTCCCAACAATCTAACCAGTGTGCCACACTGGTTGAAAATTAAAGTCTCTTGCAGAGAACAACCTGCCACACAAACACACACTATAGTTTCTGAGGTGTATTTTCTACTGCTGCTAACTCACTGTAGGACAATTTTTCTGTAATATCCTTGCCAGATTAGCTTTTAGATGGGGAGCAAATTAATACAAGATGCAGAGAAGAACCTTTAGCAATATTTGATAATTATGAGGATAGGTTTCCTGAAGTGATCTAGGGTATGAGGGCAGGGATATACCCCCATTTTTATCTGTGAATGTTTAGAAGGCATGAACCTGCACTATTTGGATGTGGCTTTTCAGAAAGTGACTGTAGCCAAAGGTCTGACATTTTATTACAAATCAATATGTGGATTTCAGCTTTCCTTGATGCTTTTCTTCCTTACTTGGTGCTCCTCTCCTCTATATTAATTCACTTTCCTAGGCTTCCTTCCCTCTCCGGTCAAATCCACACATGTAGCAGGGTGGTGTTAGCTCTAAGATGGTAAAGAGGACTGTACCACTTCAGATTGCGGCTGATGGGGAGTTGTAGTTTTGAAAGCTCCCCTACTATGCTGATTACAGTTAGTGCTGAGGGAAAGGCAGTCTATGCATGTTTAAAGGTAATACATTCCTTCAGGTGTTTCAGGGAACACGGGTAGGACCAAAAAGTGGGGGAAGACCTTACCTTACAGGAAAGGTAACCTGATTCTTTTTACATTGTAGCTGAGCACTTTATCTGGATTTTGAATATTGCCTATACAATGGGCCTCCATGGGCATATGAAATAAAATAAACTTGGATGAGTGGGCCATGTTGCATCTTGAGACTATCTATTCCCACTTACTCCATGGGTGAACATCACTTCTGTGTGAGTGAGGTCTTGATAATTGTTGATTTTCAGGCTCCTTCTATATATGATGAGTTCAAAATATATTGATGTTTAACTTATGTAGTGCTCAGCTTTTATTTTACCACTGAGGAAGGGTTTTTAGCTGAAACTCATTTGGTTCTTGTATTTGGATGCATTTTCTCCTTTTAACCTGTATTTATATGTCCCATCGATGGGACTCTGGCGACCCCTGTGCCGCCAACCACTCTGTCAGTGCCACAGCACCTCACCAACAGGCCTCCCATGGCCCCCACGCCACCGCCGTCCCCCCCCTCTCCTGGGGCCCACACTCACTGGGAGGCCAAAAGAGACCAGGGGAATGCCACCACAGAGAGCTGACCCTGGTATGAGTGCACCCCACCAGCCCTGCCAGCTCCGTTCCAGGGCCAATGCTAGTGGGGCAGAAGTACTGCTCCCCCGGCACAAAAGCCAATTGCACTCAGCTAAAGGGGAAAGGGAGGAGTTCCAATTTAACTATAAAGATGAAAAAGAGATAGGCTTGCAAAGAGGAAAGGGGGAAGGTGCCCATCCGGGCGAGTGCAGAGACAGGAAGAGGAAAGGGTGGGGGAAGAGGCAAGACAGCAGTGGGGCAAGTGAGGTGCCCAGATCCAAGCCCCCCTTCTCATGGCAGAGAGAAGTGTGCTTGCAGTGAAGGCAGGCAGGCAGATGAGAGAGCACCTGGGTGCAGCACGTGGCCAAGGAGTCAGGCACTTACCCAGCAGTGGGGAGGGGTCCAGGTGCTGCTTGAAGACATTGGCCAGATGCAGGGTTGGTGGTCTCTCACCACAGGGGTGCCAGGTTGTGAGGAGAGGGCTCTGGATTCCCCTGGAGGCTCCAAGTGCTGCCAGCCAAGTAGTAGCAGAGCACAGCCAAGAGGTAGAGGATGCAGAAGACCACAAGGAGGTGACACTCCTTCTGAAGCTAAGTGCCCAGCAGCTTTTTCATGGTCCCATGGGTGTCAGGGAAACTGAGAGCACCAGGGCAGGCATCAGGAAGATTTGTGGGGTCTGGGCATAGCAGATTCAGGAGGGGTCATTACTTCTTTCGCCTAGCTACAGGCCTGGCCAGGTGCCATGGAAAAATTCTTTCTCAGCTACAATTCAGGCAACCAGCACTTGAAGAAGCCTGTACTGTCTGCTTAAAATGGTGGGCAGAGCACAGACCTGACCTCATCAGGCCTCTATGTCACTGTAGTGTCAACAAGGAACTGATTGGGCAGCCCTTGTCTTCTGTCTTTGGCAGTTTGCCTCTCCTACTGAGAGAATGCTGGCTACCTTAATAGGTGGATACAGCATAAGAACAGAGCAGCCCCTCAGTCAAGTGGGCCATGGGAGGAGGGAGAGGTGTTGCATCCATGTGTTTAGCCATATTTTATTATTATTTTTTGTCTCAAACTTTTTGGTTACCTTTCCAGAAAAGATTTCTGGTGCTAAGATTCTGCTTGGCTGTGTCATATGTTCATTTGCTAGTGGCTGACTAACAGCAAAAAATATACACCTCACTCTCTGCACTGTTGTGGGAATTTGCTGGAAGATGTCATGACAGGTTTGTTTTACTGTGCCATGACAACACCATGGCAAATGGCTAGACAGTATTATAACCACCAACAGAGCAGGGATCAGGTGTTATGAGGCACTGCAATCTATGGAATATTGCACATGCAGGTCCAGACTGGGGCATCCCCAGGACTGTTTTGGCTTGGGAAAATGGTGCTAGCAGAGACAGATGTCCTTCGTACCCTTGCACCATGAGCTTCATTTGACTTGAACCACTGTGGTGCTTTAAAACTTAGTCCCCTGAAGCTGCTATGTGGCTGCAGAGAAAGTCAATTGTGTTCTGGGAACTTGGACCCAACTCATTAAAAAACATCATGCCTAGCTTAGCCCCTAATTTTATGTAGCTGGTAGTGATTGGCATTAGATTCATAATACCTGTCTACATGGATACTTGGCCATTCTTAGGAGTTTATTTCAGTGGCTCTTGCCCAGAAGACCATTCCAGAAGACCATTTGATGTGAGCACCTGCAAAACTAGCCATGTATAAGAACTTTAGGGTGAAGTGATTTCATTGAACATAACCTCTAAAAAAGAAAATGCAAACAACAGTGTTTGCAAGAACCAGCCCTAACCGTTCTTATCATGATTTGTTAAATGAAGATGATTTTCTTTTAACCTAAATCCCTAAGATATTACTGTCTTCAAAAAAATGCTCTATGGATTAAAATTAAATCCTTCTTTAAAGACAGATGCAATATTGTAAACCCTTCTAGCTTCACTGAACACAGCTCTTGATGGAAGGGAGGATCCTCCTTTCCTGGCTGATTGCAGCCAGAGAGATGACTCTTCACCCATGTAGCCTTTTCCAACCTATTGGCTGCTTTATAAACAGTGATGTTTTACATAATTTTCCTGCTTTTACTAAGCAACAAATGCCAGCAGAGCATAATCAGGGCAATATTTGCTTACATTTTTTGTGTGTTTTCATTCAGTCTTCTTTCAGCTAAAACTAGAGCATGTATTGATTCTCAATTTATTTTTTTGCAAATATAAATGGAGAAAGAATGCCTGTCCTGTTTAGCAACTGAGCTGGAAAAGGATTTAACATCCCAAACTATTGATTCAAATCTGCTTGCTTATGTGCCATTGATTGTGAACCGCTGCTAAATCCTATTTTCTGAAACACTGTGGTTTCTTTGTACAAAACCCCCAAGACTTGCATACTAATAATTGGCCAATAATGATTTCATGTCCTTTATACATTTCAAGCATGAACAAAAAACCCTGACAGAACAAAAGAAGTCTGTTTAATCTATTCTTATTGTAGACTTTTCTTTTTAAATTCAATCTGAAAATAAACCATTGTTTGGAAGTATGAGAGTACAGCAGAAGCTAAAGCTGTATATGGTATAGTTTGGCATTACTCAAGCTAAAGCTGTACTGGCAGGTGTCAGTTGCTGCAGTTGTGAATACTTGCTAGTAAGCTCCTAGCCATATATCTACCCTGTCTTTAAAGTTAGGTTAGAACGAGAGAGCACAGAAGGCATCAGGGAACACAGTAAATTTCACCATGGTAATCTGATGAAATATTGATCAAATAAAAAATGCCTTCTCAGTACTGATGCACATAATAGACCCAAGATGGGCACTATGGGGACATGAACAGGGAAGCACAAGGTCAATTCAGATGTTTACCAGTATTCTGTTTTAGTTACAGTTTGCAGCATTCCTTGTTTAAGTGAGTGAGCCTAAAGCGTGATGTTTTTCTCTGACAGATAATTGTGATAATCAACTGGTGACTGCCTTGCCTCAGTCATCATTCAGCAGTTCATCAGAGCTGTCCAGTAGTCACAGCCCAGGATTTGCAAGGCTTAATCGAAGAGATGGTAAGTCTTCCCTCTGTTTTTAATCTGAATTTCTGTTTGTTTGCTGAAAAACATTTCATTATGCTAAAATATATTAGGATAAATGAGGTCTTCTACAGAATGCTAATTTGGAAATATGCACCTATGAATATTTTATTCTCTTTTCATGCTTGAGAGAAATACCAATACAAATTGCTAGGGCCAGATTCCTATTATCCAGAGTTAGACCATTTTGTCATGTACAGTGAAACTGAGAATACTGATTTACAAATATATGTTTTCAGACACAGAGGATCAGTGGCCTAGTTTGATTTAGATGATCAGGCTATATGAAATCTCCAGGGGTACATATGCCTCTGACTTAATTTGGGCTGAAAAACATCTGTATACTGTACACTATTCTCCGCTTCATCCAGGGAATTAATGTTAGTAGACATGAACTTCATAGTTCACTTGGATTTGAATCCAAGTTTGAACTCAGGGCAGATCACTCCACCATTATGATTTTTATTCTTGTCAATTGGTAGCATAGTCTGGAAGTATGCATTTATAAAACTAGTCTTAATTCCATATCATAATTTCAGAAAGGACAGGACCATAATTGTCATTAAATAGTGGGAGTCTATTTATTGTATTGGAAGAACAGGTAAGGGAAATTTCCATTTTCATTAATGTCAGATTGTATGTCTGCCCATTATTTTCTACAGGAGGAAATGAGGGAAGGGATTAGATGTTTTCTGGAGCACTTTTTTGTTCACCAAATGGTACCAAAATTTCAGCAAACCAAGTTCTACTTCTCTGCTGAAGTTCGTCCAAGCTTTAAGTGAATTGGACAAAGAGATCTGATTTTATAGTCCCCTGAAGAAAGTGTCCCAGTTATTTTTCTCCCCATTGTTCCCAATGGGTAAAAATGGCAGGAAGCAGGAAGTTTTCCAGAGAAGCTGGGGGGTTTTTCCAGCAAATGGCACCAAAATTTCATCAAACGTAGTCCTCCCTCTCTACACCCAGGTTTCAAGTGAATTGGAGAAAGGGGTCCAATTTTACAAACCACAGAATAAGGTGCCCCCAGACATTCTTCTCCTTATATGAGGAAAATGATTTCTGAAGCAGCTAGTTTTAATTAATTGCCACAACTATTTTAACTAAACTATTTGTAACTAAAGACACAACAAATTAACACCAATTAAAATAAGACTAGTATCTTAATAACAACAGAATTCCCCACCACAGAAAACAAAATTATGTCCCCTGAATAACTAACCACCCTCAGGAAAAAGCTAGTATTAATAATCAAAATAGTCTGTAGTCCACTCCAGGCAAAAATCCAGCATAGGGGTCCATGGTCTGTATAGTTAAAACAAGATCCAGATGAGTGCCTTTTTCACAGCCAGCAGCACATGAGAAGCAATTGGAGGAAAATTGCTTCATAAAATAGCATGACTGACCAATGGCAGCTCTACTAATCCCTCTCTGGAATCAGATTGGCTGGGAGACCTGCCCCTCTTTCTCCCTTCCCTCTTGCAGGAAACATGACAAAACTGCTGACAGATGATCAAGAATAAGCCTCCTGGTCTGATTCTGGATTTTTATGATCATTATCAGATGAAAACTATTGGTGTTTGGAAAACTATTGGGAAGCCTTTCAATATGTTGGCTATTGCTTATCCAATCAAATAACAACAAAGTCAGATGACTTTTAGGGTGGGCTATATCCCATTGTGCATCCCTAACAAAGTCTTTTAGAAATGGGAAAAAATACATTAATCTACTGAGCCATTGCCCCTCCCTAATCTATGCTTTTGGTATATTAAAAATACTGACTAAATTAATAAAATCCAACTTCCCCCCCCGAAAGGTGGTTTCATTAAGATAGGCTGTGGTTGGATCAAGTAATGAGTCCTCAACTATTCTCTCTCTAAAAAAAAAGCATGTATTGAAAATCACTTGGCCTTCAATCCTAAACCATTCTACACTGAGAAACAGAATTCAGGATCTGATGGAAGCATAATCAGTGCCTTTCAGTTCTCCCCTACAAATTCTCCCCCCAAGACCAAATTTCCCCACTGGGATTTATTTCTAATACCAGAGCCCAGCTAGAGAAAAATAATTAAAAATGTTGTGGGAATCATTTTCAGGAAGAATCACATTTCAGGAAGAGTTTAAAAGAGCTAAGTGTCATTTCCAAATAAGCATTGTTTTTGTTCAGATAATATGCTGACCATTGTATTCCCCAACCTGAAACATTTCTGTGTGTAGCATAAGAAATAATGGCTTGGATCCAATGATGCACAGGTGGAAACACAGTGAAGTTCTGTATGTACAAGATCTCATACAACACCTAGCACTTTCCTCCCTGTATACTATACTGCCAAGAAATTATAAGCACAATGTCTTGCAATTGGAGATGTGGATATAATTATTACTTAGTACAAACAGCTGTTGATTTTTTCTTGTGTTTCTGCTTGTGCAAGAGGTCTAGTGCAGAGCTACTCCAGTCTAAGCCCATTGATCAATATGACTTTAGCAGTGTCACCATAAGTCGGAAGAGACTTGATGGCACATAACACACATAGCTACCTATTCATGCATGGCCAGGGAAGAGCCAAAGTTAATATCTGCTGTATGGGCAGCAAATAATCCAACAGCAAGACAAAAGGGGGATGGACATCAGGGAAATATCACCTGTGTCCAGAATGGGTACCTTTGTAGCTACACAATGAAGGGAATTTAGAGTCAGTGAGAAATTCCTCAGGGTTGAATACACTCAGGACAAGCTCAGCAGGACTAACAGTTTATAACCCAGGCATATGCTACAGCCTGTCTGTGGTGTCAGAGTCTTGGCAGAATAACAGTTATAGTGATTGACATCTTGGCCCAGAGGTGCAAATTAAAACTGGGATTCAGTTCCCTTTCATTATCTGATGGATCACCATATGCTTCCTCTCCACTTCCTATAATGTAATGTTAGGATTTAGTTGCCCATTCCCACGGACAAGTTTGTGTTATTCCGAGGGCACATTTATCCTTTTATACAGGGGTCATTTCGTAAAAAAAAGAGATGCAGGAGCTCATTAGCATAACTTATTAGCATAATTTATTTGCATATGCCTCACCCCCTGACATCACTGGAAGTGTGTCAGAAGGCAACGCCCACCACTCAGGCTCCACTGGACTGTTTTGGATTGCTAGCTATGGGTGGTGGTGGGGAATGCGCAGATCTGCCCTCACAGAGGAGGGAGAGTGTGTACCTGAAGGCGGGCCGGGGGGGCTCTTCAACTTACCTGGCTGCTTCTTGCTCCTCCTAGCCCAACTGAGGGCTGCTGGGAGCAGGGGGCAGGGCTTGTTGCATGTGCCCGCCCCCTGGGCTCCTTACTGCCGGAGCTCCGCTCCTGTGCGCTCCCACAGGAAATGACCCCTGCTTTTATAACAGTGATAACAACCAGAAACCTGCCTAGTGGATCATGCAAAGACAGATGTGAGAGAAGCCTATATTTAAAACAAACAAACAAATTGATTCAATACTATGAAAATGCTCATAATAAAAATAATATACATAGTATTTTATTTAAAACATTTCTAGCAGCCTTTCCACCCAAATAGGTAACAAACATTAAAACGTTAAGCCTTTAAGACATTAAAGCAGCATTTAAAATAAGGTATATATAAAATATTTAAACAGTTCAATTAAAAAATACAGACATACACAAACACATAACACAACCAGAGAGGAGGTCCAATAAAAGTCTTCACCCATAGCAGAAGACAACAATCGAGGGAGACAAATGAATCTTTCTTGGGAAGCAGTTCTAAAGTTTCAGCATCATGACTGAGAAGGCCCTCTCAAAGGTTGCCACCTATCTAGCCTCAGATGGTGGGGGCACACAAAGAAGGGCCTCCAAAGATGGCCAGAGTGGACAGGTACATCCATATGGGTGAAAGTTATCCTTCAGCTATACTGACCTCAAGCCTTAAAAGGTCACTATCTTGAACTGAGCCTAGAAGCATAACTGGTAGCCAGTGTAGATACAAGAAGACAGGAATGTTATAGACCATGAAACCCACTCTATTCAACATTCTGGCTGCAACATTCTGTACCAAATGTACCAAAACCAGCATGTCTACCTGAACCAAATAAACTGTGAGAAAGTAAGGACTCTATTTCTCACACTTTATTGCATGATCCATTCTTTACACAACCCTCAAGCATAATATGTTTTGCTGGTAAACCATTAGTTTCACCAAGGTGTAAGTCTGTTTTAGTTTCATCAGCCAGTCATGAATATGGGGCTTATTTTTTCCTTCTAAATTCCAGGCGAAAACTAAGCTAGCTGTGGTAATCATATCTTAGAACAGTGCTTGAAGGTCAACCACACAATTTAACAGGAAGATCTCTGGCTTATTATGAATATGTTTCTCCAACCTGACTGATATAATTTCCATCACTGGTGTCCAAGAATCTTCTGCCTGTTTGCACATCCACCACATGGAGGGGGAAAATGTACACTTTCCACCTCACAGAACCAGCAATTACTCATCCAAGTTTCATAGATCTTTGCTAGACTAAAAAGGGTTAGATGCTTATCTTAAGACTGTGGGAGGGGAAAAATCCTAAATGGAGTCTTGTAAGAGACAAAGATAAATGGAGGATAAGAAAATATGAAAGAAGAAGTTGAAGCTGGAGTGCACATTTTCTTAGTTTACTGAGAAGATATTTAGTCACAAGAGATTGCTGTATAGTCAGGAGTGCGGGTGTGCCAAATATTTTTTATATTTTTGGGGTTTAGGTGTACTGAACCTAAAAAAGTTTGGTATTTCCTGGTATGCCCAAATCCCAATATTGGTATGATATTGGAATTCAGGAAATAATTGGGATTGCCGGACTTATCGGCTCCATTATACCCTATGGGGACTGTACCCATTGGGTAAAATGGAGAAGAGGGTAAGTGAGCTTGTCGTGCTTCTGAGTTCACTTGTGCGACCTGCAAAAGCCATTGAAAGGGAAAGTTCCCTTTAAATGGCTT